TATGCATGCATGTTGTCAAGTAACGTATATATAAAGAAAACGAGAGAGAAGGCCTCCTGTGATATGAATTTCTCCCATAATACCCTCATATCATCCTTCAGGGAGGGGAGAAAAACGACAATCTGTTTTGAAAAGAAGAAAACGTTGAGATGGAGATGGGAGAAGAAGAAGAAAAATAAGAAAATGAGTAAAAAAAGAGCGTAACGAAAGACGAGGGGAGTAAAAGCTTTCGCCAGCTTTCTCCATGCAAAGAGCCCTTAATTCCCAACACCATTTTGTATATCCAACCGGAAGACGTCTAAAAAATGACAAGAGCTAAGTGATAAAATAGCCTGACAAAAAGTGCATAAGAAGAGAGTTCCAAATCTACTGTGAAAAGATGGAATCCTTTACCCTCTCTCCTTTAGGTGACTGGCAGCTGGTTGATATCCCCACGTCCAAGTCATGTTATGTGTATATACGTGTATACATCCGAAGAAATGAAAAATATGATAAGGAAAAAGAAAGGGAAAAATAAAAAGGCCTTTTCATTTTATCGTTGCCCCTTTGTGTCTGGACTCTCAGATCTTACACCGCCAATTTTCATGAGGCCGCTTAACAGAGTCCTACCGACTTTTCCATTCTTCTGCTTCGTATTTCCGCTGGCTGAACCACTCGAATTTCGGAGACTGTTGGCCTTTTTCGTATCTGCGTCGTCCCTTCCGCGCTTCAGTTCCTTGCTGCGTCTTTTCGAGCTTGAGTCGCCGCCTCCGTCGCTACTGGAGCTTCCAGGAGCTTGCTCGTAGCTACTAGGCTTAGAGGCTGGACTTCCCACGTAATATGGGTGATATGGTCCGGTAAAGTTGACTTGTTCCAAGATTTCCGCCAGTTGCTCGGGGGACATGTACGACGGAGTCTCCTTGTTTCGGAAATCAACCACCTTGGCAAGACATGCATCGGCGCGTTTTTGTAGCCCAAAGCACAGGTCATTGAATATCAACAACTCTCCATCGACTTGTGCCTGTTTCACATCGATAGGCCGTGAATCCACCCACAGTTTGACGAGACTCGCAAAGCCTCGAGTTTGGTCAATCAAATATGGCAAGCTAGGGAATCCTTCTTTCGCTGTAGGCCCCAGTCGATTCAATATAGTGACGGGCGTGATGTAGCTGGGAGGCAAAGTCTTACCGCCTCGATCAGCCGGAATACCGCAGACTTGGTCGATAAAACTGCGAAAGGTCGGCCGCTGTTGGGTTAAGAAACGGTTCATTGGCTCCATGTACTCCTCTCGCTTCCCGAACGTCGATAGATTTGATAACTTTTGTAATGCCTTTGCAATGAGTGTCAATGTACGCTGTGCTTGCGGTCTAGGATGGTCTCGTAATAGCCCAAACAGTTTTGGAGAAAGGATGGCAGGGCATATAAATCGTAAGAAGAGGAAGCCCGATATGGAAGTGTAGCTGACGGTACGGAGAAAGTCGCCATAGCGGTCATCTGCCACAGCGCGAATATACTTTAGAACATGCCTCAGCTCTGCCGGTAATCTTTCCGCCGAGTCTGCGATGCACAGCCATATCTCTGTTGTGAGATGAATAAGACGGCCCCAGTGTTGATCCAAGTCTCCTCCAGTCTGCATCAGCTTGCTCGGATCTACTTCGCAGTCCGGGTTTAACTCGTTGATCTCGTTGATTTTATCCTGTAGAATTTCTTCCAAGTATTCCTTGCCCAAGCGGCGCATGTGGAATTCGAGAGACTGTGTTAGTAGTGAGTTGCCTCGGAACAAGAGGTTAGCCTCTCCTGCCAACGTCCTGTGGATATCGCGAACCATCAACTCTCGTTCGTTTGAAGATTCCATGGACTCGCTAGATTTTAGCCTATTACTAAATCGGTACTTTTTGATGGATGTCTGGTTTCCTATCCCGTCAATCTCGTCTTCGACCAAGGCCATCAGCCAGTCGCTTGCGGCACCGGAAGCTTGGAAGAGGTTGAGGAACAACTCCGACAGTGTGCGCAGTTGGCCTGGGAGAGAGGCAGAGATGAGAGTAGTTAGACCCGAAGGGAAACGGTGTAAAATCTCAGACAGCGGCTCGTATTCCTTGGATAGCAAGGCGATATGCTCTTCGTGGAAGACCTTGATTAGCATCGACCCGATATTCTGCTGCCTGTCATCCAGAATGGGCTGCCAGCTTTCCTGCGCCTGGCCCCTCTCTACGTCGTCCAGGGCGATTCTCACGCTACCGCATATGATCTCCTGGGCAGATATCGATTTTGAGTACCCGTCAGAGCCACAATCGACTCGTTTTAGTATAACGGAGAGATCTTGCACCACCGCGGGTAAATCATTGAACTCGCAGTCCTCTCTCCAGAATGGATTTTTCGTGTCCTTTTTGGTAGTCGTCCTGGCTCTAACTTCGCCATCCAGGATCACTTCTGCCAGGTAGCTGCCGACGAGAGGGTCTGGGCCCATTCTGCCACATTTCTCTGGAGAGAACCACTCTACTCCGGCCGGGTTGGCTTTGATCTTGGCCTCTACAACTCTGACCCTGATGATCTTTTCCATGCGGAAAACTTCTCCCGGTTGATCTTTTTCAATGTCAACCACGTCTTGAATCTCATCCGTTTGCGGGTCGTCCAGGGCGAAGATGTCGGGGACGGCAAAGGTTCGAAGCAGCGCAAACCAGACTTCAAAGTCGATACGGCTATCCACGGCCAGATAGACGGGTCGGTAGACGGATATATGCGTTGCTGTAGAGGCGTAGATGGGGAAGATGGCAATGCAATATTCTTCTTCTAGAACGGAACGGTCGAGGCCCTGGATGGCACACCGCGAAAGCTGAGATAGTTCAATGATGGATAGGACTGAAACATCGTTCTCCATAAGAAGCCTAAACTCGCCATTATCTTGTAAAACGCAGGAAACTCTTCTCCAAAACATGGAAGGATGCATGTGATCGCGCGTTGAGGACCGCTGGACAACGGCACGAGCTGACCTGGCGGGACCCTTGTCCCAAAGCATAAACTTGCCTACTTTGATGATGTTTGTGGCCCTTGGAGTATCGCCCGACTTGGCGCGCTGTCTCATCTCGGGGCGAATGGGCCCGGCGGGGCTGCTGGGCTTGCCGTTGGGTACTTTGAGGTTGAGAGGCGTGAGCTGCTGCCAGCACAGAAGCGCCGCGAGCCACAGCTCCAGCTCCTCCGTCATGATGGGCCTGATCAAGAGCTCCAACCCAGGTTCGCTGGGGACAATCTCCAGACACTCCCTCTCCGCATCGGGGTAGCCAGTAACGTGAACTTTACAGCCTCGCAGGTCTGAGACGAGAGGTATATGGAACGACGCATTTTGGCCAGTGTGCCCTAATCCAAACATGAGGGTGCCTTTCTCCACGTCGATGTATGCCATTCCTGTGTGCCATGTTCCCCGGTACTCGCCCTGGTATTCGAGCTCACCACGCATCCGGCCGCCCAGAGCCTTCATCAGCACCACCAAGCGGTTTGCATCGTCGGTCGGGATGGGGTACGGGAGGGAATCGATAGCAGGCGCCGGGGCGACCAACGGCGAAGTCGGACGAGAGGGCTGCCGTTTCAGAAGTCGCCTGTTGTGATGGTGGTGGTGAGAGGATTTGCTACTCTTGTCCTTGGATGGCGTCGAGATCTCAGGCACTCTGACGGCCGGTATCGTCGAGTAGTTGGCAGGGTCGGAACCTGGCGTCAACGTTTTCTGGTCGTCGACGGTGGGCTGCGACCCCGACGAGACGCTGCTCACTCTGTGTCGAAACTCGGTGGCGGAAGAGCCAGAGCCTCGGGGCCCTAGCATAGAGGCGTCCATTGTGCGCGTCCTGGGCCGTATCGCGTTTGCATTTCTCTGCTGGTGCGTCGCGGGGCTGGAGTCTGTGCCATCCGAAGAGTCGCAAACAGTATCGCTGAAGACTACGCCTTGGCGACGACCAAGGCTCCCGGGAACAGACCTAGGCGAGCCCTGCTGAGAGCCAATGCCGCGGGATGGGTGGGCCATGATTGAATCAGAAAGCGCAGCGCTCACAGCACCACCATGACCTTGGAGTAGGTCAGGTGTGAGGGAGCGACCAGGTCTCGGGCTGGCATTGACCCTAAATGAAGACCTGAGATTCGAAGCGCTGAGACGCTCCAAGTTATTCCGGTGGATTTGGAGAGGGGGCGAGGTGCCGCTGGTCTGGGGCTGCTGGTTCTGCATCTGGCCCTGGTGCTGCCGACTCTGGGCTAGGCTCTGATCCCGGGCCTGTCGATGCTGGTGGTGCTGCCGCTGCGGCAGGGCTTGTTGGTCTTCGCTATCGCTACCGCTCTCCTGCAGGCGGGTTGCATATCCATCCATGACTGGCGGTGACATGCTCATGCCATTGCTCGACGCTATGGCGGACGACTCGAGCGCTGCATCGAACGTCGCCGCTGATGCTGGCGCTGCGTCTGCTGCGTCTGATGCAGCCGCTACTGGAACTCGGACTACTCGCGGTATCGTGCTTGTATGCTCGCGGAAGTATTACTAGATACTAGATATTACTGATGCTAGCGTTGGTTTTGGTGTTGTGGCTCTCTGCTCTGCTCTGCTCTGCTTCGCTTATTTCTGTTCCCTCTGCTTCGCTCTTCTCTTCGCTCTTCTTGTCTTCTTCTCCTCTCTTCTTGCTTCTGCAGCGATTATCGTGAGGTTGGCAGCTTCGGTGTCGTCCCTCTGGTGGAGGCGGCGGCGACGACGGATTGCTTGACAGGTAGTCGAGTTGAAACGGCCGCTGCGCCGGTATCAGTGGCATTTGTCAAAAGCCCCCCCGAGTGCCTGAATATCGTGCCGTTCAAGGCTCTAGTAGCGACGATGCTGCCGCTGCCGTGCTCGTAGCGGGGTTCACGACTTGTTCGCGGCGCTACCTGGCAGGCTAAGGGACTGTGCTCCGTAGATGGGTGGAGGCACAATGGGGATGCGACAGGGTTGGGAATAGGTGCTAGTAAAGTATTGTGCTCTGGACAGACCCAATTCGGCGGAGCGGGAGATGGGCGTGCGACGAGACGAGCGAAGCGCTGAGTGAATTGATCTTATCTATGCGCTCCCACGAGAGCCTTTCCCCCACGAAAGAGGGCAGAGTTTGCGTGTGGGATCCAGATTGCGTTGGCACCGCTGGACGGCCCTTGGCCTGTCTTGCAGTGTTCTGCGTCTCGCTCTCCTCGGCAAGCCCTCAAGACTAGTAATGCTGCGTGCTCGCGTGGTTTGTAAGGTATAGTAAGGCGCCGCGCGCTTCTCTGTCCCTGGCAGAACCGGCAGCACCTAGGCCGAGTACCTGCGTCCCGTGTGTGCTGTGCTTACAGTACTTGAGGTGCGGCTGGGGAATAGAGTTCCAACCAAAGGCCGCCGGAGGCTTCTGGGAAGGGTCTTGACGTCGTGTGCGTTTGCTAGTGGTCTGTCCACCTCAGCAACTCTGTTCTCATACCTGCAGCGAATATCCACAGCGGACACAGGCGCAAGCCAAAGTCCAGAGGCGAGCGGGGACCCCTTGGGGCTGTCTAGTCCCAGAGCGAAGCGTTAGGGATGTGCTGCGGTGTCGATCAGGACGGAGCCCACGCCTAGCAGCCCTGGCCAGTTGACTGAGCCCGTGACTGAGGGTCCGGGATATGGCACCAGAGCGGTGGGAATGGGTTTCTGGGCGGTGGACGAGTCTGGAGGAGGATGGGATCCTGTTCGGCCGGACAAATGGGACTGGCGAGATGGAGATTTGCTCCGCAGCCTTGGCCCCGAATCACCCGTCGTGAGCAGCCGTACCCGCTCTGCAGAGGCCTTGGCGAGCACGAAAGAGGATCGAGGAGCTGACGAGAAGATAATGCGGCAGGCTCGTCGCGGTGCCTTGCTTGTACTCGACGTCTTTTTCTCTTCTTCTCGTGGCAGATGCTCTAAAAGGGTGTGCCTGATCTCGTGTTCCTGGAAGCCTGGCTCGCTGGGCGGTCAGCTTTCGGGGAATTTCCTGGTGATGTCCTAGTGATTCTGATTGCTTCTCGAAAGCCGGGCCTTGCTTGCCTTTTCTTCTTGTTTCCCAATAGCCGCTACCGGCCGGGCCTCTGGCACCGTTATGGCAGGTCAGAGACAGGGCACAGACTAGCAGTGGGTGAGAAGGCAAAAGCGCCCCAGACAGTTGGATGGATCGGTTTGACAGGCAGCAGATGGTGGACGGATGAAGCTTAAACAGATGCTTTCGCCACCTGATGGAAGTTGGAGGAAGAGGACAGAGAAAGGAACATGAAGGAAGGAGGCTGTACCGGCAAGAGAAAAGAGTAAGCAGAAGGATCGGTGCTCAACCACGGCTCTTTCAAATGTCTCTGCCACCCCTGGACGAAGCATGAAAATGCAATCAAGGCAATTCAGACGCCTCTTGCTCATGCCGAGCCTCGCGACTGGCACAATTGGATGCTACGAAATATTTTTAGGCTGCGGGCTGCGGAGGACAAGGCAGCCCTGGAGGGTATCACCCGGGCCCAGAGCCTCCCTGCCGTGCTCAGCAGCTGGAACTCGTATCGCAGAACATCAGACCGCTGTAAAGGCGAAGATTTGTGTCACTCGTCTCATTTGTCCAAGTGGTATTGACTCGAAGGCCATAAACACCCCAGTATACGTAAACTACAATCTGCATGCCGCGAATCGTTGACTATAAATTGAGGCTCTCAAGCTCGCCAATGGCCCAGTGGGCAATTCGTGCAAGGCTAGCTGGGGTCCTGGGTACTCTGCATCGTCTACTCGGATTGTTTGCCAGGGCCAGAGCCTAGCGGCTGATAATGATGACGATGATGATGGTTGACAATGGCGAGTGAGCAGCCCGTGTACGAGTCTCAACGGAGCTTCGTGCTACATTACATGGTCCTCCCGGCGGTGGCAGCTTCGTCTCACAAGCGCCCAGCCAGTCTTAGGTTTTGCACATGACGCCCTGTTTAACCGCTGCACCGACGCACCGGAAACCGGTTGGAAGCCAGAAGCATGCACAGAAGACGTGCCATCGGGCTCTAGAAAAATCTCAGCAAGCTGCCGTGTCAGTAAGCCCATCAGCACCATGTCCCGTTTGCTGGCTAGTGGCGTCGTGGTGGAGCGTTGAGACAGGACATGGATCAGCATCAACGCATAGACTGACTCCAGATGCTTCTGGCACCGGCTGATGTCCACTTGTTGGTGCTCGAGCAAACGTCATGTCGGGCTGTACAACGGATTTTGTTACAAGCACACACTTGGTTGAGAGATGAGTACATGTAGGCCAGGCAGGCTGCCATTACTGTGGGAGAGACCATGGGCAATATCTAGTGCATCATGCAATGTCCCCTACTTCTGATTCCTCATTAGAAGACACAGGGACAGGCAGACAATGAATCAGGGACGCATGGCGGGAGAAGAAATAGATGAGCACCGCCAAAAGCGGTGAGCCAGCTATTTGTTCTCGAACCTGGAATCGCATCTCCATACTTACCTTACATGTTGGGGCCCCCCCTCATCGGTGAGCTCTTGTGAGCGAACCATCGACTTGGATCTGAGCGTCTCAGGGATCATATCAGAGACCCCGGTTGCGGGCTCACATGCCTCTTTGGCATGACGCTTGTACACGCGTCCCAAAAATAGGAAGAAGCAAAAAAAAACCACATCAGCTCTGCTCCGTACATACCGTACGTACAGGCAATATTAAACGTCAAGCCAGGACAAGGTCCCAAGAGCCGGCACTCACTCGCAGGGCCTCAGGGCCTCTACAGCACAGACACAGAAAAGCCACCCCCACAAATTGCTAGCCCAGCAGGGGTCCGACGATTTTTTTCTTTCTTGGGAGGGCTTCCTCCGTGGCCCAGGCTGAATATGGCCTGGTCCGCGCCGGAGGCTACGAGGCCTGTCCCTGGTAGCGGCGCCTTAGATCAGTCAGATGGTCGGTATGGATGGATGGTTTCTGCTCGATTAATATTATGCCATTTACAGGTACAGATTATTATCCCATCGTTGACGCGGTAGACGACTGAAAAATAAAAGAGAGCGAAAAGGGCGAACCTGTGGCAGCTCCACTGTCCAAAGACACCAGTAGCTGATATATAGGAACCTACTGCACGCCTAAGAAGATCACCGCGGCTTATGGTACGGGACTTGATTTTCTTGTGCGTCCCATTGTTTCTGTGTCCTCATAATACATATTCGTAGGACAAGCCAGTCGGAAGATGAACTACTACTACCTGATACTAGTAGTAATTCCCGCTGTGAGACATGCATGCGAGCCATCGTGCCACCGTTTCGCCTACGGGCAAGCAAAATTGATGTACTACTGCGAATCACTCGGTACCGTAGCAGCGATTTACTACTAGTAGTACCATCAATGTCAATATAGTAGTATTACAACGACATGCCAGTCACCAATTTCACCAATTTTAACAAGAAATTCGAGAAAAGAAACTAGGACGCAGTGTGGCAGTAAAAGCTTGCTCCTGGGTGGCATCATGTGCTCATTGGTAGACTTTAAAGTCGGAAGACCGATACGACCTCGCACCTCCTTGCGAGCTGCTGCTGCTGCTGCTAACAAAATCGTCGTACCCCCAAGCTAAGTCAGGACCACAAACTCAATTCGACTCGACGGACCTCCGGTCTCAAAGCTAAACCATGTTCCTGATTTACTTCTAATTTTAATAGTTTTCTCATTTCTC